TTGCACTTCAGCCTGGGCAACAAGAGCAAAACTCTTGTTTCAAAACAAACAAACCAATTACTCTTTATCTGAAATTCTAATTTACGTATCCCTATTTTATCTGGCAACCCTAACTGGGTGCTACAAATTATGTAGCTGGTGCTGCTGGGAAGACAGGAGAATTGCAAAGTGGTGTCACAGGCCCGGGGGAGGTTTCCTCTGTGAAGTATCCGAGAGTGGGGAAGTGATGGGTATAGAGACTGGACTTGTGGCTCTAACTTGTGGGGCTGTGGAATGGTCTCCAGCAGGGCCAGCCACCTCAATGTCAGTGCAGGACAGCCAGGTGGCGTGGAATATCTGGGTTGTCTGCAGACACCTCACTTGGGTGAGACCGAAAGCCCTTACCTTGGTTGGTGAGGCCCTGCTGTCCCTCTCACCCTTGCATACTGCAGCCCGCTGCTCTGCTGGCTCTTCTGCAAACAGCCTTTGCTCCTGTCACCTCAAGGCCTCTGCTCTCATGGTTCCCTCTGCCTGGAATGTTCTTCCTGTAGGTATCCCCAAGGTTCGTGCCTCTTGTTCCCCCTGGGCCCCTGAGAGGCCTTTCCTGATTACTTTATTACTTCCTACTCCATCTTTCTTCATGTCACTTCCCACCTCCTGACATATTATATATGTGTATTTTCTGTCTCTTTCCATTACAATGAAAGTACTGTGAGAATGAGAAGTTGGTCTTGCTCACTGATGTAACCCCTATTCCTGGACATGCAGGGGAAACTGAGATATTTGTTGAACTGATATGTTAACTAATGATACATGGGCCAGGTGAAGTGGCTCACGCCTGTAATCCCACCACTTTGGGTGGCCGAGGTGTGTGGATCACCTGAGGTCAGGAGTTCAAGACCAGCCTAGGCAACATAGTGAAACCCCATCTCTACTAAAAATACAAAAATTAGCCAGGGGTGGTGGCGGGTGCCTGTAATCCCAGATACTTGGGAGGCTAAGGCAGAGAATTGCTTGAATCCCGGAGGCGGAGGCTGCAGTGAGCTGAGATCACGCCACTGGACTCCAGCCTGGGCAACAGAGCAAGAGTCTGTCTCAAAAAAAAAAAAAAAAAAAAATTAGTTGGGCATGGTGATGTGTGCCTGTAGAACCAGCTACTCGGGAGGATTGCTGGAGCCCAGGAGTTGGAGGCTGCAGTGAGCTACGATTGTGCCACTGCACTCTAGCCTGGATGACAGAGTGAGACTGCCTCTTAGAAAATTAAGAAAACAAACAAACAAAACTTTATCACCTAGATTTTGGTAGTAGTATTTGGGCATTTCTAGTGAATGTTAGCTAGTTACTCACTTCGCCTAGGTGACAGAGTAACTCAGCCCTGTGGTGTCACTCATGCTTACCACTGCCAGTGAATGTCTGTGCCAAAAATCAGATTCGATCTTAAAGCAGGAGAGATTTGTTTAGGTGGAAATCTGTTTTGAGTTTCCTTTCCATTATCACCCACTCCCTCTGGGAAGAGAACACCTTTTCCTGTGGAGTTGGATGGGGCTGACCTTTGCCCTGTGTCCTTAAGAGTAGGCAGGTGGTCTGAGCCAGGTGAGTCCTTCCTGGTACTTCTCTGCCAGAGTTCTTGGGGAAGATGGTCTATTTCTGCTAGACTTGGTAGGATGTGAGTGTGAGGTTGTTGATTAATATCCTGCTCACTAAGTAGAGAAAGGACAGGGAGAGCTCTGATGTTTGAAGCCTTAGATCCAGCTACTCCCTAGTGACATGAGCTAATGAATTCCTTTTTTTTTTTTTTTAATTTATGCCAGATTGACTCTAGTTTCTATCACTCACAGCTGAGCAAGCTCTGACCCATACATATTATGTTGCTCAGGCTGGAATGCAGTGGCTATTCGTAGACGTGATCAGATCATAGTGCACTGCAGCCTTGAATTCCAGGGCTCAAGCAATCCTTCTGTCTCAGCCTCTCAAATAGCTGGGATTATAGGCACGTGTCACTGCACCCAGTCCACACAATTTTGATTGAAAAATTAGAACAACTTGACCAGTGAGATAATAGTAGAAGATTAGACAGTTAAGTGAATTAATGAGTTATGAGAGGAGCTTCTCCTGATTTCCCTGATTCTTTTTATTATGGGAGTGGGAGCAGGGGCAGAGGGTAGAGATGAGGATGAATGAAGGAGATTGAAGTGAGCCCACAGGCGTGGCCTTTGCCAAATGTGGGTAGGGATGCTGGGGCCCCGGTTCCCTCCCAGCTGTGGTTCCCTGGCAATGGCTGAGGAGAGCCTGGGGTCGACAGGCAGCTGGATTGGAGAGAGCTCTCAACTGTAAGCCAGCTCTGGGCTCCTGTCCTGTTTCTGTGTGTGCTTTGGGGCACATCTTCAACTTTCTGAGCCTCGCTTTCTCTTTCATAAAACGGGAGTGCTGATGGTGCCCTGCTGACCTCCGAGTTTGTGAGAGGCTCCCAGGAGCTGATGAGAATCTCTGAAACCATCATGAGAACCATCGGGACTTTCTAGCTGTAAGGTGGTTTGTCTCTTTCATTTGCTTGAAGGCTGGACTAGACAAGTGCTAGGAAGACCCTCAGGACTTGGGCTGGGATCTGACCTTCATGAATTGCAGACTATAGACCTTAGGTAAAAAGTGGTCAAGAGGAGGCCGGGCGCCGTGGCTCACTTTGGGAGGCTGGGGTAGGCGGATCATGAGGTCAGGAGATCGAGACCATCCTGGCTAACGTGGTGAAACCCTGTCTCTACTAAAACTACAAAAAATTAGCGGGGCGTGGTGGTGGGCGCCTGTAGTCCCAGCTACTTGGGAGGCTGAGGCAGGAGAATGGCGTGAACCCAGAAGGCGGAGCTTGCAGTGAGCCAAGATCACGCCACTGCACTCTAGCCTGGGCGGCAGAGCGAGACCCCGTCTCCAAAAAAGGAAACAAAAAAAAAGTGGGCAAGAGGAAGCCTAAAATATATGGCCCATAGCCTGAAAGTTCTTCAGGGTCATGGATGAGGATGTGAAAGGAGTTTGTTGGGCAGGGCAGACTCTGGCCTGGGGCAGGTTTCTGGCTGGAGTAGTTAATTTAGTGCCTTTTACTTGGAAAGACAGAAAGATACTTTTTTTCCCCTTTCTTTTAAAAAAGTAATACAGAGTTTTCTGAATACAAAAGAGTCACATATCTATTTAAGAATTTTGAGCTGGGCACCGTGGCTCAAGCATATAATCCCAGCATTTTGGGAGGCAGAGGTGGGTGGATCTCCCAGGAGTTCTAGACCAGTCTGGGCAACATGGCGAAACCCCATCTCTACAAAAAATACAAAAATTAGCTGTGCACGGTGGCACGCACCTGTAGTGTCAGCTACTCGGGAGGCTAAGACCAGAGGATGGCTTGAGCCCAGGAGGTCAAGGCTGCAGTGAGCCATGTTCATGCCACTGCATGCCAGCCTGCGTGACAGAGTGAGACTGTGTCTCAAACAAACAAAAAAAGAACTTTGAAAATAAAAATATGTGTAAGGAAATCAAAACAACTCATGATTATCCAACTCCCATAAATAACACTGGTAATATTTTTGTCTATCTCCTGGTATTTACTTCATTGTGCCTATGTGTCATGTGTATGAGAGATGGCTTATAAATAAAATTTGGTATGTACGGCTTCAGAATCTGTTTTTCACATAATATAAACATCTTCCTATATCTTTAGATTTTTCTTACAGCCTGATTTTTAATTGTTATGTAACAGTTTTACTTGTTCTACCATATATGATGTATTCCTTTTATTGGATAGAAGACTTTCCAGTTTTTTAGGATTATAAAATCATATTGTAGTTAAATCTTTACAGATAAATCTTTGTGCATGTGGAATTATGGGGTCAAATGGGATGTCCATGTAAGAATTTTTGTCTATGCTCTGGCCAAACTGACCCTAAAGGAATGCTAATTTGCCTTCCCATTGTTGTGTGCGGGGCATCATGAGTCTCTGAATCCTAGCCCTTGCTGGGTATTACTGGATTTTTAGGACTTCGCCAAATGCTGGTCTTGCTCTGTCGCCTAGGCTGGAGGGCAGTGGTACAATCATAGCTCACTGCAGCTTTGAACTCCTAGGCTCAAGCTATCCTCCTGCCTCAGCCTCCTTAGGAGCTGGGACTACAGGCATGCCACTATGTCTGGCTAAATTTTTATTTTTGTAGAGACGGGGCCTCACTATGTTGCCCAAGCTGGTTTCAAACTTCTGGCCTCAAGAAATCTTCCCACTTTGGCTTCCCAAAGTGTTGGCATTACAGGTGTGAGGCACCATGCCTGGCCTTGTTTTTATTTGATTATGACTCTTTTTCTGGTTACCAGTAAGGTTGTTTTCTTCCCCCCATATAATTAATAGCTATTTGTATTTTTTTGTGAATTGCTTTATTCATTTTCCTATTGGGGTGCTTGTATTTTTCTTACTGATTTATACAGACTCTGTTTGTAATAAAAATATTAACCCTTTTTGGGGATCAATACGTTTTTAGTAGTGTGATGAAATAATTTAATAATGGATCAAAGCAGAAGGTTTGATTCCAGGGGGAAAATTTTTTAAGCTACCCACCTCTTTCCCTACACATAAATCCAGAGATAAGTAGTATCTTTGCAATTGAACATGTCTTAAAGCATGGACAGGCCCCTTCCTCCCTCCCTCCCTCCCTTCCTTCTTCCCTTCCTCTCTCCTCCTTTCTCTTTCTCTCTTCCTCTCTTTCTTCCTTTCTTCCTCTCTCTCTTCCTCTCTCTTTCTCTCTCTCTCTTTCTTTCTTTCTCTCTCTCTTTTTTTTTTATGGAGTCTCACTCTGTCTCCCAGGCTGGAGTGCAGTGGCACAATCTCCGTTCACTGCAACCACCATCTCCCAGCTTCAAGCTATTCTCCTGCCTCAGCCTCAGTCTCCTGAGTAGCTGGGATTACAGATGTGTGCCACCACGCCTGACTAATTTGTGTATTTTTAGTAGAGATGGGGTTTTGCCACGTTGGCCAGGCTGGTCTCAAACTCCTGACCTCAGGTGATGCGCCTTGGCCTCCCAAAGTGTTGGGATTACAGGCGTGAGCCACTGCACCTGGCCATTACCTTTGTTTCACGAATGAGTTAGGCTGTGGCAACTAGACTAGGGCGACCCCCCACACCCTCCCCCTAGAGCTGGTCACAGGCAGAGCTGAGCTTGAACTTGGGCTTCACACCTGTGTTCACACGCACCACTTGTCATTGCCTGTGACTTTGCTGTCTCTCCTCCTCATCTTTCAAACACTCCCTGGAGCCATTTAGTGCCTAGATGATGCGTGTTTTTATACCAGCCACTCTACTCAAAAGCAAAATCTGTTTGAAAGCTGTGTTACAGGTTCTTCCAGAACTTCCAGTTTTTAAGACTGTCTTCCCCTTGCTGCAGCTTCCTTTGTACCATGCAGCCACTAGCTCCGAAGGGACCTCCTGCCAGGGAATTTGATTCCTTGTATAGAGCCCTTCTGTTGACCGCTGACCTCAGGGCTAGGTCCCCAAAATGTCGCCTCTCTGTGATCATTTCGGCAAAGTAGCAACAGGTCAGTTAGGATGTGGATTTTCTCACTCTCTCAAAGGTTCTTTTATTTAAATATGTTCATACATTTTTCTCCTGCCGCTCTCTTTCCTGAAAGAATGAAGTTAGAGGATTAGGTTGCTAAATTTAGCTCTTGCTGACGCACTGGCCTCTCACTAGCAGTCTCCTCGTGTCTCAGTGTTTCTCTAAGCCTCGCTTTTTTGCTGGTAGACGCACACCATCACATCCTACATAATATTTAGCTCTGAGGCGTTTCCAGATGGGAAGTGCGTTTCTGTATTTTCATAGCCGTGTTCTCTACGTGAATGGACTGGCGTGAAGCTGGGGGCTGACGGCTGGCAGGGCAGGTAGGGGGGCTGGCAGTGACCTGAGAGAGGTGAAGATCCCCAGGGTGGTGGTGGGGAAAGCAATGCAGTCCTTGTCAGATGTTTGCTTGCTGTGAGGAGAGGGAGATGGCTGTGAGAGGAGATCTGGGGATGGTATTTGACTGGGATATGAATGGAGCATTTTCAGGCAGGGGAGGCCCTCCTACTTGAAGCAAGCCTGAGTGTTGTTAAATAAAAAAATTATTCTGGCACTTGTAAAAATGGTAAGGAAGACTTTGCTCAGGAGTCTTGCAACAGGGTTGTTGCAATAGGGGAGAAAGATGGGGCTCAGCTCTAAATGCAGCAAGACAGTTGAGGATTTACAGCCAAGGAACAGAGAGGAGGGGGTCAGTGGATGGAAAGTTACTAAGAGGAGACATCAAGGGAATGGGATTCTCGCTAAACAGACCTAAAAGGACTCTTGCTAAGGGCAGGCCAAGGACTTATACATCCAAGGTAGGGGATGAAGCACTTTATCAGACATCAAGGGTAGGGGACTCGCTAAACTGAATTTGCAGGACGCTTGCTAAGACTGGACTCTGCAGACCTGGCAAGGACAGGAGGGATACAGAAGGCCAAGGTTCAGAAGAAGGCTCAGAAGAGCCTAACTAAAGTTTAGTCAAAGAAAGGGTTTTTGTCAGTGCTTCCTCTTGTTCAGGGAGAGAAAAATTCTTTTCTCTGAATAATATAGGTCCATTTCTTGTTCGATCACCTTTTGTTCATTAAGGACCAGCTCGAATGTCTGTTGGGGCCTGGCAGGAGAGGATACTTGCTGGATGGTGCCAACCATCAGGCATTTAAACGAGGGAGATTCATGATCTGCTGTGGTGATGGGTCCTTTGAAGTTTATGTCAAGTCATCCATCTTGTAAGGCTACTTTAGATCTTGGGGGGAAGATCAGCTATAAGACAGCCTAGAGTTGCAATGAGGATTTGGGTAGTCAGCCTTTAGCTCTCAGTGACGTCAGGAGGGTGGGAGAAAACTTAGAAAGTGGAAAAATTGAGAAGTTGGTAACAACTGTGAAATGTGCAGAATGGCAAGATCCAGTCCAATTCACAGTAGGTAACAAGGTAAAAAGTAAAATGTGATTTACCAAGAGGTGAAAACTTAAAGGCAATGAACAGGACTAGAATTTGATATTCTGCAAGGATGTGCTATAGTTTTCTATTGAAATACAAATAAGCACTGGTCCCTGGACGGGCATGTTGAAATGTCAGCATGGAAGGTGGTCTGGTGTTAGACAGGTCTCGGTTCAAATCCCATCACCTTACCAGAGATGCTGGGCAGATTGGTTGCTCTCCTAGTGTCTGTTTCCTTAGCTGTGAGACATGATGAAAGCTAACATTTATTATTTCTCATGTGCCAGGCACTGCCATGAGCATTTCACATGCTTTATCTCATTTAATCCTCATAACTTCGTGAAGCAGGTAAATCATCATCTCCATTTTGCAGAAGAGTAAACTGAGGCTTTAATATATCCCATAATATGTCCACAGATGTTGCCAACCTGCAAGTAGAGATTGAAGCTCGTGTACTTAAAATGAGTTTGGCACTTATCAGGTACCTGATAAATGTAACACATTTTTTTTCCTCCAAAGTATATGTGGGAGAACTGGAGCTATAGACAGTGCCTGAGCCCAGTCAGATTCAGTAGGCGGGGCTCTCCCCCAAAGAGGGAAAATCCTGAGACACTTATTAGTGGAGGGATGGAGCCTGCTGTGAGGGTCCTGGCAGAGTCCCTGCATTTTGTCCTCTGGGGGCAGCTCTCCTGGGAGTTGGAGAGAGGCTTTGACCCAGCCTTTGCTGGCCACTGGGCAGGACCTAGCTGGGAGCAAATGCCAGGGCCAGCACAGGCTTGTCCAGAGATGACTCTCACTGACTGTGCTGTGTTTGCTGTGTACCTGGTAGGCACGCATCTCAGTTATTCTCACATCTCTGCAGTAGGTATCCTTCACCTTCCCATGCAGATGGAATTGAAGCTCCAAGAGGGTAACCAACTGCCCAGACACATTTGAAGTAGTGAGGCAGGGATTTGAGCCCAGGTCTGGTCCCTGGGCCCATGCTCTCTGTTCTGCTGTGCATCCTGGGTGATCAGGGAAGCAGACCCAAGCTAGGGAAGAAGTTATGTGGGGCTGAGGCATTGGAACAGAGTGGGTAATGCAGGGCCTTGGGAATCAAACACACTGGAGTTCAAATCCTGGCTCTGCCACTTCTTAGCTCTGTGAACATGGAAGTGACTTAACTTCTCTGATCCTTGGGTCCCCCTCCATAAACGAGGAGAGCCATAACTACCCAGAGAGTGTAAGGATGACATGAGAATATATATAGAGCCTTGGCATGGGCCTGGGTATGATGAGCATTCAGTGAATGCTGGCTGCTGTGGGCATGTGGGAATTGCTGGGGACTTTCTCATCCGCTTGATCTCCTTTGCCCTTAGGGAAGGCAGACGCTGGAGGGCAGGTCTCTCAGACATGGGAGAGACCCTTAGCTTTATTTATCCACCCTGGGATGTATCCCTGGGAGCTGTGTATCAAAATTATAGCCACCAAATATAATTTGGAAGGACTTAATAATATGATATAAGGTTGGAAGGACAAGGGTGAGGCTAGGCCTAGGTATGGCATCCTTACAGTGGTCCAACTTCCCTCTTGCTGGTGATGTCCAAAGAGAAAGGCCAGCACAGCGGCTCAGATGGACCTAGTGGGACTGCCTGGAGGAACCTATGCAGTGGGCTTGGGCAGGGCCCACAGTTACTGGTGGCGGGCGTGGGCGCTGTCAGTGTCTCCCCCAGCCTCCACTGAACCTTTCACATCAGGTGCCCTAGAGTAGCACCTGTTTACCTAGACCTGCCCTCCAGAGACACTGTCTCCCCACCTTGTGAGCTCCTGGCTGCCATGACCTCTGTACTTGCCCAGAGAGGCTGTGAGGATGAAATGCTGATGTGCATGAAGCTCTTAGCCTAATACTTCACATGCAGTGAGCACCCACCTTCTGACTGTGGCTCATTAATTTGTGGATTCAAGTACTGTTTTAGGTTGAGAGGTCATAGTTATGAAGAAAACAGTCCCCACCCTCATGGAGGTCACACTCTAGTAGGAAAGATGGATGAGAAACATGTAAGCAAGTAGATTTGATTGTACTATTGGAATGAAGAAAGGTAAAGCAGGGAGAGGGAACAAAGACGTCGTTGGTGGGGCTGGGAAGGCTTTTATTGGGAGACAACAAGTGAGCAGAGACCCTGGGGATGCGGAGGTGCCAATCATGAGAATGCTGGGGGACGCCCGGTGCGGTAGCTCACACCTGTAATCCCAGCACTTTGGGAGACCGAGGCGTGTGAATCTCTTGAGGTCAGGAGTTTGAGACCAGCCTCGCCAACATGATGAAACCCTGTTTCTACTAAAAATAAAAAATTAGCCAGGTGTGATGGCGTGCCTGTAATCCCAGCTATTGGGGAGACTGAGGCAGGAGAATCACTTGAAGCCAGGAAGCAGAGGCTGCAGTGAGCGGATATTGCACCACTGCACTCTAGCCTGGGCGACAGAGCGGGACTCTATCTAGACAGACAGGTAGATAAATAGAATGAATGTTGGGGAGCATCCCAGCAGAGCCATCAGGTGGGACTGAATCTGGTACAAGATGGAGAGGAGGGATAACTGGGAAATGAGGCCAGCGTGGAGGCTACCAGGTCACATAGGACCTTATCATTGTTTTCAACAATCATTATTTCTAGATGTCGCTAGGCAGGATCAGCTGTTCCTCCTCTTGTGCTGTTCTGGTGGTATGCACACAGGCATGGTAGCAAGTCACCCTGTGTTAGGACTGTGTATTTTACCACCACACTGAGGGCTCTGGAGGCCAGGTGCTATGGCTGTTTTGCATATACCCAGCACCTAGCGTGGGAGTTGTTTATTGAAATTATAGCTACTGAAGGTTGGAAGGACGAGGGGGAGACCAGGCCTGGGTATGGTATCCTTAGATCAGTCCAACTTCCCTCTTCCTGGTGATGTCCAAAGAGGAAGGAGCATGGAGTCTGTGCTTCGTACATTTAAAGATGAATCTTAATGGCAATGGATACTGTCTGTTGGGGGTTTCTGTGAGCTATCCACAGCAGTTAGCATTTTACATTTCATCATCTCATTGAATCAATACGATAGCCTTGTCCCGAAAGTGTCATCTCCATTTTATGGATGAAGAAATAAGCCTTAGAGGCCGTCCCATGCCCCAAGCACACATACCTAGGAACTTGCTGAGCTAAAATTTGAAGCCGGGACTCTAAGGACCACACTTTCAACTCTGACCAAGCTGGAAGGTCGGCTGCCTCCGACAGGGGCTTGGCCCAGGCCTGCCCTTCCAAGGGCTGTGGTGTTTACTGCCCAGGGTCTTGGCATCCTTCGGCCTTTTTGGTCCCTCAGGGGTACCTTGCACCCCAGCCTGCCCTGTAGCATCCCAGGGAGCCTGAGGGGCTGTCCCTCAGACCTTCTCACAGCTTTGTAATCCACAAATGGAAAAGTGGCACTTAAAATGAATTTATTCAGGTGGGAGCTGTGTAAGACATGAAAATAAGGCTTTTGAGCTGCTCCACATAAACTTGAGTGTAAATGAAAAGCTTTTTATTTGGTTTCTGAGCCAGACTTTGAGAAGCCAGTGGGCCGTGCGGTCTGGAAGCGCACGTTATGGGCGCTGGGTCGGAACAGGGGCCACTTTGAATGGCAAGGAGGGAGAATCGCTCCAGTGAAGCTGGAACGGCCAAGAAGCTGGGATGTCAATAAACACAGGCAGGACACAGAAAGCCTTTTCCAAAGAGATGGAAGGTGGGGAAGTGAAGGAAAGGCAGTGCCTCACTCCCGGCGCATTTGAGAAGGAAAATGCTTGAGGTAACCCGTGTTGGCAGCTTTTATAGCTTCCTCCCGATAATGTGCTGGGCAGACCCTGAACAGGCTGGTGTTTTATTTTCGTGTAACGAAGCCGAGTGGACCAGGGGC